TTATTCAAGTCGAACAATTATAGTTTTGTTTTATTTTTCAATAAAACTTATCCAACTTAAGAAAACTGAAAAAAGGTTAGACCGACACACTCATCCCACTCTCATATGAGTAGTGTTTGGAAAAATTAGCTCACAGTATTAAATGAATTAGTTCTTAAGATACACTTAAACCTACTGCGATTAGACCGATGGATGCGCACTGAGATCCATTCAACACTTCACCAAATAAAAGGACTTTCTCAAATTTTTAAATTAGTCGATTTTTCTTCAGGATTTCTACTCTTATATGGTCTTGGGACTCCCTGTTAATAAATAAAGTCTTCCGTACTCTATGAGCACTATCTGTTCAGCTTTTCAGTTTCAAATATATCAAAGAAAAACATTTTCTATGAGTATTCGTCCAATTATATTTAACTCTTCAGTTGTGTCCTCTGTGGATATTCGTTTAGCCCTCAATGATACCCGATTATGGAAGCTTGTTAAACTGTCCTTTCCAGTTTAGCTTTCTGTATATAAATCTTTTTAAAGAACCATCTAGTCCTGAATTCAAAGAACTATCAAGGAAATGAAATTATGAGTTTTATTTCCAATCCTACTGTAAACTTATCGACTAGGTACAATTATTGAATACTTGGAAGATAATATTGAGATTACTATTATTATTCAATACTGTTTTTATATTTGTGATAAACACATAGAAATCATGTTTCCTCTCTTATTATTTTTTTCAGATACCTTTCTCACATCAAACTTAAGTTATGCCTTGAAAATTCAGGGAAAATTTTGTCATTTCTTATTGAAACGTTCACGACGATTTCTGCGTTTAATAAATGAATCCAGTGAATCTCAAAAACTTGATCATAGATCATCAAATGAATTGAATACTATTCTTGTACCAGATAGATATGGTCAGATTTTGTTAGAATTAGCAGAAATTAAATTTCTTGCTTTCCAGTTAGAAAATTTTTTACTCATACGATATAGACTTGGTAAAATACCAAATGAAAGTTTATTAAGTGAAATGTTGTTAACAAAACGTAGTCGAGTATCACTTCCTGTGCAACCGTCTTATTGTAATCCAATGACATCATCAATGAAATCACCACCATCAACAACATCATCTTATGTAATACCAACATGTCAGTTTGCATATACCAACGTTAATTCAAAAGTTATTCCCACATCATCATTACCTACGGATGCTGATTGTCGATTAAGTGATGAAGTTATAAAACATACTAATCAAGCTTCTTCATTATGTACAAATAATCCGAATAGTGGTACTACAATGATGATAAATACTACAGGAAGTTTATCTACTACACCATTTACTTCTCCTATTCCTTCAACTTTCTCACTTACTTCTCTTCATTTGCCTACTTCTATTCCTCATTTGAACAATAGAAATAACAATTGTAATAATAATGATGCATCATTATTGAAAAACATTGATTCACAATTGTCTTGTACAGCATTTCTTAATTCTTATACTAATTCTCCGTTATATACTCCAACTAATACAAATCAACTGGTTTATAATCATTGTTTTATTAACAATGATGATCATGTTATTACTGCAAATAATATTAACAGATTTAATGAACAATTACACGAGTCCTTGTCAACAGTGACAACAATGCCGGCGACAACAACAACAACACTCGTAAATCATACCTCAATATTATCATGAAAAGCATTTATTCTCTTTTTCTACTTCCCCCTGTATTTAGTCAGTTAATCAATCCAGATAGGACTTTTCTCCTCTTTATCTCAATGTCTTCTATTTGTGTGTGTGTTTTAGAAATTTTTTTACATGCCTTTACACAATGTACGCTATGTGTATATATATTGCGTAGTTTTGTGTATAAATTATTTTCCTTGTTTGTGCGTGTATATCTTGGGTGCATTTTTTGAGACAGGCTAATAAGGAATAATATATATATATATATATATATATATATATATATAGAGAGAGAGAGAGAGAGAGAGAGAAAATTACATGTGTTCATTCATGTTCACACTCAGGAGTAATCAAGTCTACCTCAGAATTTTTTTCGGCATTATGTAATAAGCTTCTGGTAGTAATAATAATAGGTGAGAAGAATAAAAATTCAAATCTTGTTAATATTTTGTTTATCCAACTATTTATCTTTCCCTCCATTTCACACACACACCGTTCTTTTCTTCACTTTGTTCACCTCACGACATGAGAGTAAAAGGTCATGTAGTAAAGAAAATTATGGAAAACTGTTTATTTTACTCAGTGAAATATTTCAACTTTTGTTTAATTAGTACGTAACTGAAATGTTGACAAACACTACAATTAGAATTAACACCTAAAGGACTAGTCGTATGAAACAAATAATTCTATTGTTTCTTTCTTTTTTTTTATATTCCCCATTCTTATAAATCCATTGAACCTTGATTGTATTGTTTCTTCAGTAGTTCAATTGCTCTTACCTCCTCCTTCAACCCTCCTTTGTGTACTTATACTTTCTCCTTCATTGTTTATTAGGTTAAGGTGTGCGTTAATATGGGAATGAAGAGGCCACGCCTCTTTTGTGTTATTTCTCCTACTTAATCTTTCTTGTCATATATTTCTCTCATCTTTAAAATATGTATATTTTTGTTCAGGCAGCTATACACTTATCTATTTATTTTTTAAAAAGAATTCGACTTTTGTAATGGCGATGGTGGTTATCATACTCATGTTAAGGTAATCTGAGGTCGGCAAGTGTACTCTTCATCTTATCTTTCACACTAACTTTTTTCCGTGTTTTCTTCCCTTTTTCGCGGTGGTTACTACATTCTCTTCTCCTGTTCAACCTCCTATCAATGTTGCTTGTTTGCGTTATTCAATACTTCTTTTTACTGTTACCACAACTATCACTACTATTAGTATTATTATTATAAATGATTGAAAAAAAACAAAGAAATAAAATGAATTTCGTGAATAAATTCATCGCTTTGATTTCTTGAAGAAAGTATCGAATTCCCTGATATGTACATGGTTTTATGCATGTGTTTGTTTGTGTAAGTGATCATACTTCCAATAGAATCCATCAATAAAATTACTGAAACATTTGGTATGACTAAGTTAGTAAGTTTTTGTGGGAGTTTTATTTACGCCAGTAACCAATTGATTGAATATACGCTCATTAATTGAAATTCTTAGTTATGCAAACTATATAATCAACAATTTCAATCCGGTGATTATCTGAACTCTGTAACTAAGTAAAGAACAAGTCGAATTTTCGGGGAAAAAGGTACAGGGTCCGAGTTCAGTTATCAGCAAGGGTGTAGATACATCTAACTGACGAATCCCACTTGGAACGAAACCCGTGACGTGGATTTCGCTACTAACCACTACCAAAACTATTCAACCAATATATTACGATTTATTGCATGGAAAAGCGACTACTTAAGAGTAGAAATGAGCAACATTAGTTAACCAGTGACATTTTTTTAACTTCTGGTCATCATATATTTTTCATGATTAGAGCATCCGTTGGTCATGATCGAGATATTTGGTTTGAGGCTATGGCTGAAGAATTTCACATATTCCATGAATGGAAAATGGAAAAATCTCGTTTAGCATAATGTAAAGCTTTATGGCCTCGTGCATACAACCACTGCCAGGGAAGTCCTACTCACTGCCTTCTTGAGGCGAGGTGTTGTTTACTAAATTGAGTGCATAAAAAGCGAATGTCCGGCGCTTTATCGGGTCGGTGGATATGAAAGATCTGTCTAGAGGAGTTTGAAAACCCTTATTCTAAACCAATGGTGTACATGGACTCCAAGATCCTAAGGAAACAAATGGCGTATGAACCTATTTTCGGTAATCAGCTACCATAGGACTGCATCTTCTTACGTTGCTCCACTGCCTTGTGGATTATACCTTTAGGTCAAAGGCTCGGGGTGTTCCCCTCCCCCAAAACCACCTGTCTCAGTCTGGGCACCCGGACAGTATCTCAACACTCACAGAAATCGAATGATTTATGTGTCGTACATCTGTTTGGTACCTACTTGTACCAATGTTTATGTGTTTGAATAAATAATAAATGATCTGAAAAGGAAAGTAATTAAGGAGGATCATTAATGCTCAGATATATAGTCTGTAACTAGCCCCGTGAAAATTTGTGTACATCTACGAATTCGGTCACAGATGTCTTTGAAATAGTATTCGCATAAGTTCAGATGACCACTGTTGGGGTTGGACGCAACTTACTAGCCAAAAATGGCAAATTGGTTAGTGATGTTATGAATCTTTTTCGACAGAGGTGGTTGAAATTTATGTTGCTTATACCCAACCACTGCCTACCCCTACGTATGATATTTAATGATCTAGGAGTAAGTTGGAAGAAAGTTAAGGGCTCCTAATCCATGATATTGTATAGTTCATGAAGTCACTGACTTTTGGGTTGAGCTATGCTGCTAGATGGGATCTATGTGATTAGTGTTCATGCAGTTATCGCCAACATTAGCTTCAGATGTTTGGTGACGCATATATATTCACTCTTGGTATTCCCTCAGATTCTGAGATTATGTTATACGTTTTATTCCACAAACCAATTCTTTTTCAAGTTATGTTCTCTAGTTCTAATCCTTTTGGACTATCACTTATACTGCAACTACTTTGATATTCGCCTTCATAACGTGATTCCATTGTGATAATATGGTGTGGCGATTCCCATCCATGCTAGGCTCTATGTTAATTATGACTGACTGGTCATCCGATTTATTTATTTAAACACATAAACATTGGTACATGTAGGCTTCAAATATATATGCTCCACAGTTCGTCATTTGATTTGTGTAAGGACTGTGATCTTTTCCGGGTGCTTTTTTATGATATCTACTGTGAGCTCCTCTGGGGGTTACTGCCGGTCCCAAGCCCGGGTAAAGGAGGAGGGTTGGGCATGGGGTTAGCGACCCCATCCCGTAGAAAATCAACTCGCTAAAAAAACGCTAACCAGAAAAAATCATTCAAAATCACTGTGAGCAGTTACGTAGAAGTGAAGTTGACTGAATACGTGGAATTTTCAGAACTGGACTGGTTCGGTAATATCTTTTTGTTCGTTTTCAAATGCATATTTGTTACTCTAACTTCTCTCTTCTTATCACTCGTACTATATCTTTGTTTTTTATCGAAATTAATTATCTGAGGCCTAAATAAATAGTCCTGTTGTGTTTAACCTATATGTCATCATTCATGTTTATTACGTGAGCCTAACTTCATTCTTTGATCCACATTAGATTAATCGACTACGTTAGAAAGATATCTATTATTGGCACTACTAACAACTGAAGTAACCTACATTGAATACATAATTTTCATAAACCAGTTCATAATAAGCCACTTGTATTCATACTGGTTGGGATATTTGTACTATCTTACTAATTTGTACAAACTTCATGAAATGTACCTTGATCAAGTGATACTGCCTCGATTCACCTTTTTGTTTGTATCATTACTATCAATATTTAGGAAACCTAGATTAACTGTTTCGTATCGATCGTTTTTTAAAATTCTCAACTCAAAAATAAAGTGCTGCTCCGTAAATATTAATTTGTTTATTATATTAGTCATACTGTTAACTCTTTCAAAAAAATTTAATGAGTAATAAAAATCAGTCAAGACATTAGCTACACCCTAACAATCATGAACAACTTAGAACCTGGCACAAATGCTCATTTTTCCAAGTTGCCACAACAGCAGCGCAGCGATATGTAATTGATAAAATGACTACTAAAGTTGTGGTGGTAGTAGTAGTATAAGCGATAATACAAAAAGATTAAAATTAGAGAATATGATTCTATGAAATAATGTCAAGTTTCCATCTGAGGATAGACAAAGGAAAGTTATTTCTGCACCCCTCCGACCTATTATATCACATATCTACAACCATTGTTCACTGTTATCACCGTATTATCGGTTGGGGTTAATAATGTTAAAACTGACTACTGAGAACTGCCATGTCGATTCAGTTAATCTGATAAAATATTGGCTATGATTGACAAGGTCGAATTTTACTGATGATATTTATCGTAAAATATCGAGCAAATAGATTTTAGAAGACAGAAGTACTAGATGACTTAAAAAGTCTGTGGTTATACATGTTAAGGAATCAAAACTATTATGTATCTGTACAAAGCATTTAACCCAAGTAGTATGCCTGTTAGTTACTCCGTATGAAATATGTTCAATACACTGATTACTCTATCGTATAAAACTATCTATAATTCACCTGTTTAACTACTAAGCAAACTGGGATCTGTTAAAAAACAATTGTTTTTTTTAGATTTATAGCTTTGCATAACGGACTGAATTTAGTTTGATAACAATTGAAAATAAGAGGTGCTGGATAGTTGTTTCATCCCAGCATAGGACTCCTTAGTAGTGCACATCCATAGTTCTACCAGGGATCGACCTCAGGAATTTCAGGTCTCAGGGTGAGACATTAAACCTTCAAACGATGGAGTTGGAATCCATTAGTTTACGTCTCTAACTTCAGTCAATTGGCGAAATTCTGAGATCACTATCCATTGACACTGGTGACATTTGTCTCATACTCAATATAATTGAATTTCAATGGTTATTACTATTTCATAGGACTCCAGGAATCGGCTCTCAAAGTTAATCCCTAGTAAGCATAACCAACAATATCTTTCTGATTGAGGTTTTTTCTTCACTGTTAGTGACCATTATGATTAGTTGGTTTCCCGTTTTTGTTTTACAGATCACAGAAACATGTATAATTGTTCAAATCTGGAAACTTTATTTCAAAATGAAGAAGAACTAAAATCGATTATTATCAAACTAGTTCGTTCTGGTGATATTTCCAAATTAAAAATATTATTTCAATTAGTCAATGCAAGTGACTCTTCTTGTATGAACCAATGGTGTTCAAGTAAACTTGCGGAGATTAAAGATAATAAACAGCGTAATTTATTGCATATTGCTTGTAAATATGGGCATAAAGAAATGATTGAGTAAGTTTCATTCGCATTTCTAATTGTTTTTTCTTTTCCTTCAGAATCAGTCCATTACGTCATTAACTGTTGAACTTATGTATGTTGATATAAACATACTACTTGATTAGGTTTCAAATGATAGTGCCAATAAGTAAATGGAGACGAGTTGCATAGCTCAGATTCGTCTACTCTATACCTTATTTCTTTATGCATACCTTTTCATCCTGTTTTTTCTGACCATATTGTAAATGTGCAATCGTTTTCGTTACCATTCCTATTAGATTGTTTCGACCTCCTTACGATTCATTTTATTTATTTCATCTCGTTGTGCTGACGTGGTATGGTAATTCGAGCCAACGCATATATGTGCTAGGCTTTGCATTAATTATGACTGACTGAATGGGAATCCGTACACTCTTAAGGTAATCTAGTTGAGATTTAGAAAGTAAATAATTGATGACTTTGAATAAATGTCATTCTGTACATTATAAATCGATTGAATTTAAGTATGTGGAGCATTGAGTTGCATTTCAGTGGTTTATAAGGTCATGATCTTCACTGAAAGGGCCTAAAGTTTTGGGTTCTTCCCATAGTGAAGTTATGGATATAAAATGATGAATAAAAAGAAAACGAAATAACTCTTTGGAAATGCTTGGTTTTCAGTCGTTCACCTACTAGTATCAGCTATGAAAATTGCTATTAGACTGAAATAAAATCTTTTCTCATTCGTTTCAGTAAATTGTCTTTGTGTACACAAAAATTTAAAATTTTTGCTTGTTTGCAATTCTTCTTTTGTTCCTTTCTCATTTCAGTGTATTTCTTTATACTACTTGTTAATATTAAGTAACCAGTTCTAGTTCTAATAATGTCTGAGCATGCTGTAACGTCAATTTGCGTATTTTTTTTTGAATATTTTCATAGACTAATCTCATTCACTTGGTTTATTATTATAATTATATTTCACTGACTTTTCTAACAGTTACTTACGGTTTTTTGCACACTTTTTAAAATCTTTGGTTAAACAAAACAGATTCTGTGTTTGTGCCTTCAGTTTCCGTTCAATTGTTGATAGTCAGTGTTGACACAAGATACAGCTTTCGTTAACAGTATTGTATGTTGTAATTAAATTTTATGTAATTGCGGGAAGCTTTTTTTCTTCGATGGATACAACCACATTGTTCGCCACAGATACCTTACGAGTTAATATTTTTAACTAATTTACATGTATTTTGTAATAATACTGCGTAAAATCCATTAATTTCGATGATAATCGTGCTAAAAAACGTGTTAATATGAGATTTGAATTAACTATTGCTACAACTATTATGAATCATTGGAGCTGGGAATTCTAAAAAGTGAACATTGAAGTTTTTAGTGGAATCTCTTTCTCTCAGCTGTATGGTTTGGTCGTGGAGCTTTCATTTTTCTTCTGAACAACATCATCATCACAAACTCCAGCTAGAAGTGAAGTATTCGGATTTCACAGTTTATCCTGTCGACCTTGATCTTGATTGTCTATTTTTTTACTTTTAACTTGTCATTATATACCTCCTTATTTTGTTTGTATCACCCTTTTATCTGATCCTTGGTCTTATATTTGTCCATGAATGTTCTGGTTGTTTTTATTTCAATATGTGCTTTGAATGCTGACTTACCTGAGTGCTAAGCTTCTAAAGATTTCCTAGTGTTCTTAGTCTTCCGTCTATCTAAGATTTCAACATTTTTCAGTCGAATGTGTGTCTACAGTTGTTCACATGCATTGATATAAGCGAAGATATACCATGGCGCTTGACTGCTAATTGATGTTAATGTGGGTGGGGATGAAGAGGGTATCCACTTTAAAATTCCCTGTCTACTTTCAAATTTTCATAATGGTGGGCTAGTGGTTTCAATAAATTCAAATTCTAACTTATATTACATTTCACTACTAACCACCATTCTCCATTTTCGCAGATTTTTTAGATTAAAAATAAATGTTGTTTCCTCCAATCCCTTCCGTACGGTCCTCCTAGTTATCATTCTCCTTATCTCTTTCTCCTTTTTTTCACCATCTAGGTATCTTGTTCACAAGTTACGGTTACCAGTTACAAAAGTCGATCAATCTGGTAATAATCCTGGGCATATTCTACTAATCCATGCTCTTAAATCAATTAAAGCAAATTATAGAAAGAAACGACGAAGGAATTCCAAATGTACCATAAAGAATTATATTGATTGTAGGTCAAAGATAAATTTCCATTGAGTTATCGAGTTTTTTTCCTAAGCTTTGTTTCTATTCGCAGTTTCCATTATTACACTTATTTGCTAATCTCCTGGAATTGTAGTTGTTCAATTTTTAGAAAATAATTTAGTGAACATTTTAGAGTAGGTTAATCTTTAATATGCCTATATTCACATGAAGTTATATTAACAGTTAACTTTAATTTGTAATTTAAAGGAGATTGAATCAAATGACTAGGTAATTTAGAAGTTTGTTTTCAGAAGTTCATGCCAAATGATGAAGTGATAGTCATTGTCTAGAATTTCCTTTCATGACCATTTGACTGAGAACAGACAACGATCACCACATTATTTGTAATAAGTTTTGTTGGATTGATGTATATTGGTGCCTTGATCCTGTGTTCATCATAACTGACTGGCCTCAATCCCATTCGACTTTGAATATACGAAGTTTGGTCACGTAGAATGATTGCATCGCCCTTTGTCATTATCACTGAATGGGATCGATGGGAGATTATTTTGTAGGAAGCATTTGAAATTTGGTGACACATTGATTTGATGGTTGTGTATGTGCTTAATCGAACTCAAAAACACGAGGCTAAAATGGTCTCTCAATGTTCGTTCTGGAATGGAATATCGTTCTTATTATTTTACGTCTGTATAAGCACTAAATCTTGATACAACAATCCATCAATGAATTTACTCCTACCGAACCCGTTTCAACTGATATTTATTTTGGTTTATGAGGTAGGATCGAAATTTCTTGATGATAAACACAATAAAATCAGTTAAACTAATATTGGTTTGTAAAATCCCATTGTTCATAGTTGTTTGATATGTAAATGAAGGCAAGAGGCGTACCACCTGGTTCGTGCTCCTGCAAAGATCTTTTTGTATGGATGTCTATGAATTGTAATTGCAGTATACGACATCTAGTAGATATTTATGAATAACACCTTTCAAATCTCGCCCTCTTTTGATACAAATCACTAAGTGAGGTAAGGAGAAATACATCTATTTGATGAGTTTGTCAAGTTGCTCTCAACAAGATATTCTGCAACATATTCTTACCGTCCGCAATGGATTTATTTAACGTAATACGTTTAGGCTAGAATAATTTTACAGTCGGCGAAGCACAACATCAATCGATTATGTTTTTAACTGTCGCACTCCGTACCAGTTACTTCAATCTTCAGTAGAAAGGACAGCAGGTCTGTTGACCTGTGTTAATCCTTACTGTGTGTTTTACAGTGAAAATCCAATTTATTGTTGAAAGCGTTCATCAATAGACCTGATGCCACATGTTGGTGTAGGGTATGATATTTATAAAATATTGAAGTTTGTATAAAGGGCTAGTTTTAGTGCCCTCAGTAATAACAAGGTGTACTCCATAGCATTTTTCAGCGTTGACTGATTTCGACTCCTTTTTTAAAAGTAATATACCAAATGTTCGTTATTAATTTTATAGGGGTCCTGGCCACTAAAAAACTTGGATTTTTTATTTTTTAGTCAACAAATTGTTCTCACCTTGAACGTGTCTATGTAATCATTAATTCAATTTTGATATTATCAGTACTATCAAAACATTCTATTATTTCTATGCTTATAGTCTCTCTCGTAAACTTTCTAGCATTTTCGTAATATATATTGCACATTGATCTTCGTTAAACAACCAGCAAAGACCAGGAGGCACTGGACATCTGGCTCATCATCGGTGAACATCCACCGGGAATCAAACTGAAGACCTTCGATATAGTATTTATTTAGTTGACCCCTTATCTTTTATTTATATGAAATATCATAACATCAGCATCTGTAATCGGATAGTTTATCATGGGTTACATATTGATATCGGAGTTTTCCAGCCAACTTTATCCCCTCTTTACACCACTCAGATAATAATAATGAAACTTTTGATACTGCCTTCTAATAACTGTTCTAATGATCTCATTTCTTCTTACAGGTTGTGAATTATTAAAAATTGTTTTACACAAACACTCGAATCTTCTCACTATATCAAATAAAAAAGGACTAAAAGTGATCGATTTATTGCAGGAATTATGGAATTATTCATCAAAAACGGAACGAGAAATCGGTGATAACGTAAGCTGTTTATCATTATGCTAACAATTTTGATTATGATAAACACTTTCAAGTAAATCTCTAGGCACCGCTCTTACCATCATAAATGTGTCAGTGAATAACTATACACAGTGTTTAAGCTGTTGGAGACAATTTAAAAGAAACTCTGGACCTATATATCATCCTAGTCAGTAGTCATCACCAAGGGAGACATGCCGTTTTGATAGAATTAATTGATACTCATGAGATCCAAACCATGCACCACTCCATGTTGCAGATATGACTTATTGAGCTGTTTGGGTCGCCAATGACATTCTGTAGAAACAAAATATTCAGACTGAAAGATTACTGATAAGTAAATGATGGTGTGTTTTTCTAGATCTTAGTGCTAATCAAACCTTGCTGTTCGAGGAGATTTAGAACCCCTTGTGACTGGAGATATGCCTTTCTAATGAAAGCTGATGAATACGAAGCCTAGGTTCAGTGATACATGTTCGTGTTCTTGAGCAGCCATTTAGTATCCACGGTGCTCGTGATGAAAAATTACTTCAATAACTTCTCATCACATTACAACCTGATGGATAGGATTATATCTATATCAACAATTTGAAATACACAACACAGGCTGGTTAATACTCAGTGATAGATCAATGTTTTTACTGAAGGATTTATCATAAAAGAACTCATACTGAGATGCAAATTTGAAACACAACTTGTTTTTTTCTTTGAACTTTGTAGAAATGTGAAGCTTCTAAGTGTAATGGTCGAATGAATTCCTTACTTTTTAATTACTCCCCCCCACCAAATGACCTTTTTAATATAGAGTTACTATTGACAACGATTATATAGAAGAAATATCGATATTATTAGTCATAGTTATTTCTCAATATTTTCAAAGCAGTCGTAAATAATTCATAATTTTCATTATGGGGATTTGTGTAGATTGTAGTATTTTCCTTATTAAATTCACAAATTGATCTAAGCTAGACCACCGTTGAAAACGTGAATTTCCTGGAGTTCTAATGAGAAGCTGTGACCAATGTAGTCCGATCCGTGTCGGGTATGAGACAGTTATCCATCTCAGATAATGGATGAAGGGTTGCGCAAGGTCATCGATCGATTGAAATTAGACATCAACACCATCGGACATCAGTTCAGTGGTCTAGAGCTTAAGCGCTCGCGCGCAAGGCCGGAAGTTCTGGGTTTCAGTTCTGCATATGGGGTCGTGGGTGTGCACGGCCGAGGAGTCCCATACTGAGATGAATCGGCCATCCAGTGTTTCCAGGTCTTCAATGGTGGTCTGAGTTAGATCGCCTCTTGAATTCACAATTCATTTTATTTTCGACGTAGAATAAAACATAGTTTTATTTAGTTTCATGGTATCAATTGTTTTCCACATTCTATGGTATAAAATGTATACTTCATATCATGTATACGATACATTACATACTCTGTCGTAATATTGTGGTGTTGTCTACTTATATCTATATAAGTAGTATATGGTGTGGGTCAGACATAGAATGTATTTTGGCAGAAGACCGATGAGGAAAGAACTGAAATGAAGCGCAATCGTTTGGAAAATGCATGAGCAATGGAATAAGAGAAGAAACAGTGAAGATTGAAACAATTGGTTGTTAATTTGCAAATTGACTGTTCATTGTTTGGTAATCAGAATTTACTGAGATAGTCTGTAATGTTTGCTCAAATACAATCGGTTGTCCCCAACCAGTTTTCTGTTCACTACAATATCACTTACGATACACTTCGCTTATAACCGAGATATAACTTGTTCAATTCTTTGAGTTACGTTAATGTTATCTTTTTCGTGATAAGTTATCTGATTGTGGAACATGATGCAATCCTTATCTAACATCATTATGAGTTACCGTCCAACTGCCAACCCAGTTGACCTAATAGGTTACGGTTTTCTCATTAAACCTCTAGGACTTCCTAGATGACTTCTGAACTCTTGTAGTCTTTGACATTATCCAGAATGTTTTTATATGTTCACTAAGGGTGTCGTAACCATCACCTTCAGTCATGTTACTATTCATTTGGCAAGTTAAAGTGTCATTTCCATAGAAGATTCCATTTCAAGAGGTTGTAATGATCCACAAATGTCTGTTGTAAATATCTCACTGTAGCATAGGCTGACGCGGCATGTGTGAAACACAAATGTAGTGAAAGTTAGGGCTTAAACTGAGTTCAAGTGAAAATTATACTTTATAATATTCAATACTTACTCACTAAACCACATAAGAAAATGATCGAAAGTTCTGATTAGCACATACACAGTGAAAAAGTTACGGATAACTTCAGCTAGAACAACTTGCCTATAAATGAATTTTATTGAGTTTTGTTTATTTTTCTTTCAATTAGATTTTAAAATGTATTTTATCCGGTGATAACAGCTACAGTAATACTCCGAATATCCACAATAATAATCATCCAGCTTCGTCGTCATCCTCTTCATCATCACGCCTATTCAAAAAAACAGATTATAATGATGAAATGAGTTCATTTTTATCAGATTCAGATGAGGCAAACAATTCATCAAATGAATGGGAAGATTATTTTTCAGGTAATAAAATACCTCAAAAAACGTATTTTTAACACATTGAAAGATTAAGACTCTTTTGTTTCAGTAGAGCACTAACGAGTTCTACTGAGCTTGATTATTAGTAGTTGATCATTAAAAAAATGATTACTAATATATATATATATATATATATATATATATATATATATATATATATATATATATATATATCAGTTCACCTTACATTTTCATCTGAGATGTAATATTGCTTGAATGTATAATAAATGTTCGATGAGCCAAATATCCTGAAAAACTAACCACTCTTGATGCAGATGTAAGCTAAGATGATGAAACACATATGCTGTATATTGACCTGCTATCTACTTCTTTTAAAATCTAACTTACCAACGATTGATCTATAATTCGATGACTCTTTCACCCACTTACGATATTCAAGTAACATAGATTTTGTTTTACCTACATGATCAAGTGATAAACGGTCTTATTTGTTTCAAAGTTTTTGTTCTTGTTATTTAGTCTTTAAAATTGACAACATTTATTCAACTAAGGGTTCAATGTTATACTAAGATACCAAACATTTTGTTAGACATGTGTTACAACCTTATGAAGAAAATTATAAGGCAATTTAATATTTAGTTATATCGGTATAAAAGACTTAGTATTGAGGAGACTCATTTTAAATAACTTTTAATTTGACCGAAATCACTGGCTAAAAATCTCTAGACTTAATCACAAGAGCTTCTGCTATTAATCTCGTTTTTTTCCTTCTCTGACTTTTTCTTTCGTAACCTTTTTTGTTCATTTCAAACTCCATTTTAGGTTTTTCTGATGAACGATACATATCCCATTTGGATAGTATCAGAGAGGAATTTGAACATCGTAAGCGAACTACCAGTGTACCTCATAAACCACCAAAATACCAACAACCGCAAAACAAAGAAAGTAAATACACTGAATTCTATGGAACATTTGAAGCGGCTGAAGAATTATCAGCTGCAAGATTGTTAAAACAGAACTCAAGGCAGCATCTTGTCGAAAACTCTTATGAAACTTACCTAGAGAAGTGGAAACAGTTCTTAAACTCAGATCAAAGTACTCTTCTAAATTATAATGATATACTGTGGCCTCCCTTCTGCACAGTTACCCAAATAAATTCATCAGAATCAACGCACATTGAGAGTATTTTGGAATTCGTTCAATATTCTAGTCAGTCATTACGTCAATTACAAGTTGATTGGCATCCTGATAAATTTTCTGGACGTTTTGGAACACGTTTTAAATCAGAGTCTGTAAAAATAAAAGTTATGAAACGTGTTGTAAATATATCTCAACTTTTAAATAAAGCTACTGATTATTTACGCAACAAAAATGAAGCTAAATAATCAAGAAAAAGTCGTTTGTTGTGGTTTAATTCATTGCTTCATACATAATTCGTTTCTCTAAGGGTAATATTGAAGACGAGAATTCGGGACAAATAGAATAAGAATAATTTGACTATATGTAAGTTAATTCTAATTCAAATAGGATTCTGGACGAAACAGGGCCCAGAATTCATGATTTTCTTATCGTCTATATGCTTGGACTTTTCGTTCCATGTGGTTCCTATTGATAATATATCAGGATCTCTGTAGTGTTGTTAGCTCCTGTAAACTTGGCTAACATGACATACGTAATAATGTATGTTCACTCTTATTGACTGATTAAGAATTAGAAATCAGACTTTTGGAGAATGAATGCTAGTATTCTAGCGAAACACTGATATTTTGATGATTATGTTCATATCTTATAGTATTCACATTCACGAAGAGGCTGGTGGTATTTGTTGACGCTACATGACATTTAAATTGAGACCATACGGATCTACCTTTGTATCCAGATTTCTTAGTATCTGTTAAAACAAAGCATGGAGTTTGATGGTAATACAACAGCTGATTCTGTCTTTAAGAGATCTTGTCACATTTTGTGTGTCAAGCAAAGCTTCCCAATTATCTTTCAGTAAATACGAATGTCAAATCTTGTATTGTTTTTCTGTATCTAGTACTTTTTCCTTGCATTAATTTTTCCAGGGGCATTCAGACTACTTAGTTGTGTTACAACTAATGAATGGAAGTTTTGGGATCTCTGTTTAATCATTACTTAATTTGGTCTAGATAAGAGCTGTACCATAATCCGGTTGGCTCATGGTTTTATCTGCGACAATATTTTGAACAACCCGTTTGTTTTGCTATTGCTTTTGTGCCTTTCAGCATGAACTCCAAGTAAAAGATCTAAAGGTTTTTTGTATAATTCATATTTGCGGTTTCAGTTGCTTTCCACAACAAAAGTCTTGTACAAAGTATGTTTTACATGCTGAGTCCCTTTTAGTGATATCTTTTGCTAGGTATTGTGTTGCGAACATTTTGAACTACTTTTTCATAGTTTGAAGTTATGATCCCCATACTAAATTGCCTTGCATAGCAAAGACTGATCTTAAAATTTTGGGTACCGTTTTATATGCCGCTTTTGATGAGTTATGCAAACTGTTTCTGGTCTTCCGTATCTTAGTAGCCTGATTCCTCATACCACTGAACATTTTACTGAATTCTTAGGTAATGTACATCACGTTTGGCTTGGACGCGGCGCTATTGCTTTTTATGTTTGCTTGCTCTTGTGTTCATAAAGCTTTCCTGTGGACATTCGTATTTGGACTCTTAGTTTCATACTGTTTGATAATAGGGGACTTACCAGTGTTTGGGTCTTTAAGCAGTACACAGTAAGTTTGTAGTTGGACCGAGGTTAAATTCCCCTTCTGGGTTTACCATTTCTTTCAAAAGACCTAGTTCGAAAAATTAAAGAAACGTGACTTGATAATGCTAAATTGCTTTTGTCATTCCTGCACTCCGTTAATTTCGTATTTTCCAACGCCACCTAGTCACTAATAAATGCTTGACTTATCAGCTGTGTCGTTCATAGTAAGGCCCCATCGTCCTTGAAATTGTGGAATTTCCTTCAGCTGGAAGGAGTCTTACAATGTGTGTGGCTTGTAGTTTCGTTTCAACGCTCTTCCGATTCCTTGTAAATGAGTGATCAGTTTTCGACTTGGAGCTTTCTACGTGACATGAGATAATGTTAACTATTTCGGAAGTGTATTAGCAGTGTTAGGGAGTTTCAAGGTTTCCGGAGATTGGTGTGCGTTTCAAGGGACATCTTATTCAAAGAAAAACACTCAAGAGTAGTTTATTTATTTAAAGACATAAGCATTGATAAAAGGGGGCATCAAATACATATGCTTCACACAATAATAATAAGGCTGTGAAGAGATAGAGAATATAAAGTGCATATAATAAAAGGAAGAGCAACAAGAAACATAAATTAGTGTTTAAGATTGAAATAATAATATGAGGAAGAGTTCTGTTACGAAAAATACAACCAGAAAGAGTTCTTTCAGTTACAGAAGTTACGTTCCATTGTATAAAAAGAGTAAAAGTTACGGAGGGTCCGCCGCTGGCTTTTATTCTGAGCCGTTTTTGAGGACGTCTCTACACACTGTATTGCACCATCTCTAGGACCCCAACCAGGGAGTCATGAAGGTCCAACGGAAGCCAGTTATATGCAGTATTGTTTCGTACCAAGACAGCATGACATGCACCAACCACCTCTCCTCTTTCTCCAACCAGTATCAATAAATAATGCACGACGTGGAATTCTCTGGGACGACATTCGTGAATCATGTCCAAGCCACCGAAGTTTGTGTTTCGAAATGGTGACACTAGTTGGATTGTCGTCTCTATGTCCGAACACGTGTTGCCGAAACTCCTCATTACTAAGATGGTGATGCCATTGGATATCAGCTACCCTTCGGAGACATCAATGATCAAACACAGAGAGTCGTCTAGCATTCTCAACTTGGAGAGGCCGAGGTTCACAAGCATTGAACAAAACTGCTCTCACCGACGCGTTGTAGGTCCGCAGAAGATGGCCCAGATCGGCGTAAGCTGGTATAGCCTTCACTATACGTAGATTGATCTCATCACTCGCGCCACAACCAGCATTTGCGCTTCTACCCAGATACATGACTTTCTCAACTACTATCTGCTAACTACCCAGGATGAATGAGGGGTCCTGTAAAGTACTTTGCACTTCGAAAATGTAGAGGAATGGTTAGGTTGGGCAACCCAGTCTGACCCCACTTCTTGAATGGAACAATGGAGAAAGGTGGTTGCATGCCCTCACTCTATCTAAGGTGTTTGTGTTTAAGGCTTTTAAGAATGTTAGTAAACTCCTCTGGCACACCCTTCTTCAATAGACAATCCCAGAGAACAGTCCTGTTCAACGAATCGAAGGCAGCCCTGATATCAAGAAATATTATGATTGCTGGCGTGTGATATGTATGACAGTGTTCTTACACTTGGCGGAGGTTGAAGATATCAATACAACCTCGACCAGAATGGAAACCAGCCTGTTTCTCATGAGTCAATCATTCTCGGGTTGCGAACAACCTACGAAGTATAACAGAAGCCAATAATCCTGACTAAATCGGAAGTAGACTTACCCCCTGATAGCTGTTGTGGAAACGATGTGAACCCTTTTTAAAAATGTAGACAATTATCAATTCATTCCACGATGTTGGAACGCTCTAATTGCCAGACTCAGGGACAAGTCATCTGGACCTGGAGTTTGTTAGCTAGGTCAATTGCCACCGGCCATGGAGAGTAAGATAATCTGATTGATGTCGCCAGGACAGCAGACTAATTGGGCTGTGTTTTGAAGAACTCTGCCCAGCGTTTGCGAGATCGGTAGATGTCAACCATTGGCATTTTATCATCTTCACCGATTGTTTTACACACGTCATACTTCTTTCTGCCAGTGACTCCGATGAAATGAAAGAGCAGCTGCTGCTCACAACTCATAGACATGCTCCATCAACCAGGCTTCTCGGTCGTTCCGCAGAATTTTCCCAATTTCATTACGTAACAGCCTTCGTTTGTGGTTGAAATCACGGTCACTCAGGGTGGACCGATGAACTTCAGTGAGTGTTAGGAAGCCTGAAGAAACCCAGAACTTGTAAGCGGGACGTTACACGTCTCCGGCTAGTACTACAATAGCTGTAGAACGTACTTTCTGCAGAGAAACTGTTAACTGGTGGAAAAACTCATCCTTCGTCGAATCCGGGCTGCAATCTATCGGAGCATAAGCGAAGATGACGAAAAGACATCGTTTCTCGCATCTATTTCCCTTACTTTGATAGAACTTTCCAGTCTAACCGTGCATAACCGACTGTTAATGAAGATCCATCCGATCAGTGTTGCTTTGGGCTCTAGTGCCGAGTCCGACACCAGCGCCACCAAACTAGACAAAGATCCCTCATGGTCACCGGACAAACTCACTTAAAATAATCTTTTCGAAGCAAAAGATGGAGAGTGCATTTGTAATACTTCAAAAGAGTCTTGAATTTGGGTCTCTGATAAACAACAAGCAACGAATTTTTCCTAAAAACACAACCAATTCTATCCGTTGCCCGATCTGCATTAGTGTGCGAAAGTTGAAGGAGGCCAGTTTGAGTGGCACACGTATCTTCAGAAAGACTGTTTCAATATTCGTAGTCGTTGTAGCATTCAACTTCCGATCATATCAGTTAAATGTGATCTTTAACGCAGGACAGGGTCTACACCACAGACGAGCCGCTGTGTATGATGAAGAAAAAGATATGTCGAGTGACAACAGAGGGGAGAACATAAGTGACGCAATATGAAAATATGAAAGCAAACTTTATCAAAGGACTATGAACATGACTTGCTAGAATGATCGTTGAAGCAATAGTGATGTTTCCGGTAGTAGTTATCATTCATTTGTGAGTGGTTTGGGATACTGCTCGGGTGCCAAAACCGAAGCAGTTCTGTCAAGCTTAACATATTCGAACCCTGGAAAACTGGTCTCTACAAATCAACCCGTTAAATTCAGTGTTGGCTGAAGATACCCATTTGACTGACGCGTATGCTCGGTACGTGAGACACCTTTGCCGTAACTAGTGTACGTTTCACTTTTCCGAACTTTCCCCTTAAATATAGTATTCGTTTGAACAAACTTGATTTCAGAATATATTGTTGTGACAAGATGACTACCTGACCGTGTCAGAGTTTTTCAAACCTTAGTCACTGAGAGTGCGTAGCTTCGATGTAGTGGATTGGTTCTGTTAATTCTATGAAACCTCCTGATCCAACGACAGGATGAGCCTTAGGATTCTTAAAGCGGTACAAACGAGTTTTTGGGATATCGCATTACTATTACGAGAATATTTGCAAACCTAAATTTTCCAGCTGTCTACGGAGTTGAACTCTTCAATACATGTCAAGGAAAGTTACTGCAACAGAATTGGTGACGGCAAGAAGCCGTGTTTATAAGCACAATCGCCGTCAACGACTGGAAAAGGAACTAGGTTTTGAATGGGAACCGTATCAGTTAAACTCATTATCCGTGAACTTACAAATTATAAGTAACTGGTACTAATATTAAGAGGTTGCAATTAAACATACATGCCATCATTGACAACCATATAGAGATCAAAGAGAAAATGTGCTTCATCACTTTCACCTAAGGGTGGTATATGATAGAGGCTTGTGACAT